TCCATGAGAGAGAGAAATGAATGATAATCGGGGAGAGTGATGAGTCAGATGAGTCTCAATGAGACAATGATTTGTCAATTATCAACGACATGATGACACGGTGCGGACTAGCCGCCCGTGGTCAAAGAGCATGAGATAATGATATGCCATCCAATAAACGATGATCAACAGGATGGCTCTAGCATGGTTTAATGGGAAGGGATACCTATGATTGAGGGAAAAAGGGTTTGAGTTAAGGAAGCCAATGACATGGTAGAAGGGCCAACATGGGAAGACATTGAGAGATGACACCACACCACACAATGATGTCAACACATGACAGTAGAATCGCATGAGTCAGAATGAAAATAAACAATGATTGCCAGGGGGATATCTTCGAAGTCCGTGGGGGCCGAGAGTGCTGCCGACAGCGCGAGCCCGCCGACGGCGAAGGAGTTCATGTTCACGACGGCCACTGCCAAGCTGAATGAGGCTCTGTCAGGAGACGTGGATTTTGTCAATGATGGGACATGACATGGACAAGCATGCTCATCAATTTCATTCATTTTCGAACCATCCCCATGTTTGCAAATTCGATTGCAGGAGAGGACAAGAAGAACAACAAGAAGAAGAAGGACAAGAAGAGGGGTCGCATCTCGACGTGCATGTGGCTTATGAGTGTGATATAAGCCTGCATCTGCTTCTTCCCGAAGGCAAGAGCAGCTCGACATCCCCGTCGGAGGAGAGTGCCGAGGTGCCGGAGGTGGACGTGCCTGCGGCTTTGGGATTGCCGTCCAAGGAGTTCATGAGAAGCTCAAAGCAGAGCAACCTGGATGACCTTTCGGTCCGTCAGCTGGCATGTGCCCTCTCGGGGGTTTATGTCTTTATGCTGCCGTCGGACATGATGGATATCGGGGGTTCCTATGAGTCTTGGCAGCGGCTATTTGTTTTTACGGAAGTTTGGTAAGTGAGGTGAGCGAATGAGGGGAGTGAGTGAATGAAAACATGAGTGACTGAATGAGTGAGTGAGTGAGTGAGT